GACTCACAGCATGATGTTCTCCATGGTTTAGTCCTGCTTTATTCCTGTTTTAGTCCTGTTTTAGACCTGTTCTAGTCTGGGTCTTGTCTCAGTCCAGTCCTGGTCCAGACCTGACGCTGTAGAGTATGTTCCCGTCGGGGTAGACTCGCAGCATGATGTTCTCCATGGTTCAGTCCTGATCTAGTCCTGTTTTATTCCTGTTTTAGTCCTGTTTTAGACCTGTTCTAGTCCGGTCTTGTCCTGTCCAGTCCCGGTCCAGACCTGACGCTGTAGAGTATGTTCCCGTCGGGGTAGACTCGGAGCATGATGTTCTCCATGGTGGTGTCGTGGATGAACGAGCGTTTGGAGTGAACGAAGAAAACGTCCGGGACCCAGATCTTCTTGACGAGTCTCGAGTCGAACGTCCTGCTCTGGTTGTTCTGAGACGGAAACGACAGGCGCTCGTCCTTCCAGTAGTGACGCAGGTACAGGGTCATGGTGAAGTCCTGATCAGACAGGGGCAGACAGGGGCAGACAGGGGCAGACAGGTGAGGACAGGTGCAGAGACAGGAGCAGAGACAGGTGCAGGGACGGAGAAACACTTTTTATTATTCAACTTCTTTTAGTCGACAGAAACATCCACTTTTGTCTTTTTAATACTTTGGTACTTTGCGGTGACGTCACGCTGGGGGTGTTCTACATGTTACTCTATGGTAGAATGTTCAGCAGTTACCGTGGTGACACAATCCAAACATTAACATTAACATTAACACAGACACATTTTTTAAAGATGGTCTGAAAAGTCAAGAAAAAAACAAAAAAAAAAAAAAACACACACAATGTGATGGTGACGGGTCTAGAGCAAGTCTGGTCTGGTCTGGTTCTGGAACAGGTCTTGTTCTAGAGCAAGTCTGGTTCTAGAGCAGGTCTGGTGTGGTCTGGTTCTACAGCAGGTCTGGTTCTGGAGCAGGTCGGGGTCTAGAGCAGGTCTGGTTCTAGAGTCTGTCTGGTCTGGTTCTGGAGCAGGTCTGGGTCTAGAGCAGGTTTGGTTTGGTTCTGGAGCAGGTCTAGATCAGGTCAGATGTTCTGGATGTTCTGGATGTTCTCACCATGTTGACCTCAGAGATGCTGTCGATGCTCTCCACCTGAACGTCGATGCCCACAGGGATCGCAGAACCTGACCAGAAACAAAACACAACAGACGACAAGAGACCGGGTTTAGTCCTGGTTTAGTTCTAATATGTACATGGTTGAGTCCTGTTTAATCCTGGTTTAATAGTTGTTCAGTCCTGGTTCAGTCCTGGTTTAGACCTGGTTCAGTCCTGGTTCAGTCCTGGTTCAGTCCTGGGAAAGACCTCCTGTCCTGTTGGTATTTCCTGAGTCCTGGTTTAGACCTCGTACTTAACCCACTTTGAGGAAACCTCACTCTGCTCCGTCGTGTGAGTCTAACCCGTGGTTATGACGTCGGTGCAGTCTATTTTCTGAAACTCACACTAATTTTAGGATTTCCCTTCGGCCCAAACTATCACCTCCAGGAAATATCCACATCCCAAACACAGAGACTGAAGAAGAGCTGATGGTCCAGTGAGACTCGAACCCACAACCTCCAGACCAGGACCAGGACCAAGACCAGGACTAAACCAGGACCAGACCAGGACCAGGACCAGACCAGGACCAGACCAGGAATGAACCAGGACCAGACCAAGACCAGAACTGAATCAAAACTGAACCAGGTCTGAACCAGGACTAAAGCAGGACTAAACAGAGACTAAAACAGAACTGAACCAGGACTAATCTAGGACTAGACTAGGACTGGACCAGGACTAAAGGAAAACTGAACCAGGACTGAAACTGGACTGAACCAGGACCAAACCAAGACCAAACCAGGACTTAAAGCAGAACTGAACCAGGACTAAACCAGGACTAAACCAGGACTGAACCAGGACTAAACCAGGACTAAACCAGGTCTGTGTGGAGTCTGGCCTCGGCCTCGTGCCTGACAGGACATGGGCTAACCACTCTGCCACACTGAGCTAAGTCCGGTCTGTGGATTCAGTCCGTGGTCAGTTTGTCCTCACATGAACCGGACCAGGGTTTATTTTTCTGTTTCGAGTTCACGCCTCTCGTAAAAACACCTCACAAAAATAACGCAGAAGAAAAAAAAATGTAATTAAATAAAATAAATTAAAAATGAATAAAAATCCATACATTTGGGGATTTTAAAGCCTTATTCACACCGGATCAGTTTGTGGACCTTTGGTGATATTTAATAATTGTGGAGGAAGTCTGAGATTTTAATCCTGTGTGAATGCTCCATGTCTGTAATTTGTAAAGTACAAATTCTGCCACGAATGATCTACAATATTTCACCAAACACAAACGTCCGATGATAAAACTCGTCCCGTGTGAATCTGCCTCTCAGTGTTTGTTGTTGTAATTGCGTCTTTTCTGTCTGTTTTTTTCTTTCCATGTTCTTTTCTCTTTCACTGTCTAAAGTCCTGTTCACGCAGGATAAATACAACCTGGAGACGCCTGGTAATGTGCAAATTACTGCACCATCTCTGTGTTCCTCGCAGCAACATTCACGCGGGATAAACAAAGTCCGTAAATTACTGTATTTTACTGACGCTGACTGAGGCTCCGGTTCGACAGCAACTTTAAAATCTCCATGTGCTCACTGCTGCGTCCATGTGGGTCTGGAGCAGGTCTGGTCCGGTTCTAGAGTAGGTCTGGTCTGGGTCTAGAGCAGGTCTGGTCTGGGTCTAGAGCAGGTCTGGTCTGGGTCTAAAGTAGTTCTGCTCTGGTCTAGAGTAGGTCTGGGTCTAGAGCAGGTCTGGTCTGGGTCTGGAGCAGGTCTGGTCCGGTTCTAGAGCAGGTCTGGTCTGGGTCTAGAGTAGGTCTGGTCTGGGTCTAGAGCAGGTCTGGTCTGGGTCTAGAGCAGGTTCTGGTCTGGGTCTAGAATAGTTCTGGTCTGGGTCTAGAGTAGGTCTGGTCTGGGTCTAGAGTAGGTCTGGGTCTAGAGCAGGTCTAGTCTGGGTCTAGAGCAGGTTTGGTCTGGTTCTAGAGCAGGTCTGGTCTGGGTCTAGAGTAGGTCTGGTCTGGGTCTAGAGCAGGTCTGGTCTGGGTCTAGAGCAGGTCTGGTCTGGTTCTAGAGCAGGTCTGGTCTGGGTCTAGAGCAGGTTCTGGTCTGGGTCTAGAGAAGGTCTGGTATGGGTCTAGAGTAGTTCTGCTCTGGGTCTAGAGTAGGTCTGGTCTGGGTCTAGAGTAGGTCTGCTCTGGGTCTAGAGTAGGTCTGGTCTGGGTCTAGAGTAGGTCTGGTTCTAGAGCAGGTCTAGTCTGGGTCTAGAGCAGGTCTGGTCTTTGTCTAGAGTAGGTCTGGTGTGGGTCTAGAGAAGGTCTGGTCTGGGTCTAGAGCAGGTCTGGTCTGGGTCTAGAGTAGGTCTGGTCTGGGTCTAGAGCAGGTCTGGTGTGGGTCTAGAGAAGGTCTGGTCTGGGTCTAGAGTAGGTCTGGTCTGGTTTTAGAGCAGGTCTGGTCTGGGTCTAGAGCAGGTCTGGTCTGGGTCTAGAGCAGGTCTGGTCTGGGTCTAGAGTAGGTCTGGTGTGGGTCTAGAGCAGGTCTGGTCTGGGTCTAGAGTAGGTCTGGTGTGGGTCTAGAGAAGGTCTGGTCTGGGTCTAGAGTAGGTCTGGTCTGGTTTTAGAGCAGGTCTGGTCTGGGTCTAGAGCAGGTCTAGTCTGGGTCTAGAGCAGGTCTGGTCTGGGTCTGAAACTTTAAAATCTCCAGGTGCTCGATGCTGCGTCCACGTTTAGGCGACTTCTGTAAACAAGTAAAGGTCGTCGTGTCTCCAGTGTCTCATGTGGGACACTTTTGGGGTGTTTAAAGTTCACACTGGAGTCACATACGAGTCACATTTAACTGGAAATATAAACGACCTCGCAAAAACAATCAGATTTGACAAAAAAAATCTGAATTTAGCATTAAACCCTGCAGTCTGCACCCAGCCCTAGTAACTGAGAATATAACTTTGGTTCTATGAAAAGCTGGTTCAAAAAGGCCTTGTATTTTCAAATGAGCTGTTAGCTCCGCCCACTTGGCCCATTCCCTCTGAAGTTTGAACCATGACAGAGAATCGTGTGGCAGTAGTTTCCACATGGTTCTCATCCTACAACGTTTCTAATTGGACGAAACCATACATGGTGCATGTTTCTTTAAGGTTCTCATCCAACAAAAAGATTTTTTATGTTCAAGAAAAAATATTCAGACTCAGGTTTAGTTTTTATTAGGACTATTCCAGGTCTAAACCAGGACTATTCCAGGTCTAAACCAGGACTATTCCAGGTCTAAACCAGGTCTATAACGGGACTATTCTTTGGTTCTATGAAAAGTTTGTATTTTTGGTTAAACTGTTGTGTCTCAGTGTGTGTTAGACGTGTCTTTGTGTCACTTGTTGAGTTCAAGTCCGCGTGTCGGAGTCTAAACCGGTTGAGATCCGGCTCTGGTCTCTGTGGGCTCAGCTGGACTCACACACGTCTCATTTATTTGGTAAATTCTTGGCGCGTTTGTTGTTGACTTCGTCCTGCGCAAAAAAACGTCCAACAGAAACAGAACCTGCTCTTAAAGTCCCATCCCGGTCTAGTCCTGGTCTAGTCCCTCTTCAGTCCTGGTTCAGTTCTGGTTCAGTCCTGGTTCTTGGTGACCTCAAAACCCCCAAACCAACGTAAGAACTAAACTATTTGTCAAAACAAGTGCAAGACTGAGAAAAAACAGGACTAACCCAGGACTAAACCAGGACTAAACAAGAACCGAATCAGGGACTAAACCAGGACTAAACCAGGACTGAATCAGGGACTAAACCAGGACCAAACCAGGACTAAACCAGGGCCGAATCAGGGACTAAACCAGGACTAAACCAGGACTAAACCAGGACTAAACCAGGGCCGAATCAGGGACTAAACCAGGACTAAATCAGGACTGAATCAAGACCAAACCAGGACCAAACCAGGATTAAACCAGGACCAAACCAGGTCTAAATCAGGACTAAACCAGGACTGGATCATGGACTAAACTAGGACTAAACTAGGTCTGAATCAGGACTAAACCAGGACTAAAACAGAACTAAAGTGGGCCTAAACCCGGAGTAAACTGGTGACTGGACTGGAACTGAACCAGGACTAAACCAGGACCAAACCAGGACCAAATCAAGGACCAGGGACCGAACCAGGGACTAAATCAGGACAGAATCAAAATTGAAGAGTCTTAAACCTCGAGTAAACCTGGAATAAATCAGGACCTTAACTGGAACTAAACCAGGATTTTCACACATTTCTTTTAGCTGATGCAGTTGTGACTCTGTGAAAGTGACAGTGATCGTTTTAGCCTCATTTGAACTTCTTTTCTTGATGAGTCACTCTCTCCTCTCTCACGTCCACAGGGTTTCACAGGTGTCCTCTCTCTCTCTCTCTCTCTCTCTCTCTCTCTCTACCAGCTTTTTCCTTCCCCCTCTCTCCTTTTTTCCTCCCTCTCTTCTTCTTCTTCTTCTTCTTTCCTTCTTCTCTCTTTTCTGACCACAGACACGTTTCTGGTAAATATTTCTGACTCTTCCACTGAGCAAAAAGAAAATGACTTCACAGAGTCTCACTAGAACTAAACCAGGACTAAACCAGGTCTAAACCAGGACTAAACCAGGTCTAAACCAGGACTAAACCAGGTCTAAACCAGGACTAAACCAGGACTAAACCAGGTCTAAACCAGGACTAAACCACTAAACCAGGTCTAAACCAGGACTAAACCAGGTCTAAACCACTAAACCAGGTCTAAACCAGGACTAAACCAGACTAAACCAGGTCTAAACCAGGGACTAAACCAGGTTCTAAACCAGGACTAAACCAGGTCTAAACCAGGACTAAACCAGGACTAAACCAGGTCTAAACCAGGACTAAACCAGAACTAACCAGGACTAAAACCAGGTCTAAACCAGGACTAAACCAGGACTAAACCAGGTCTAAACCAGGACTAAACCAGGTCTAAACCAGGTCTAAACCAGGACTAAACCAGGACTAAACCAGGTCTAAACCAGGTCTAAACCAGGACTAAACCAGGACTAAACCAGGAACTAAACCAGGTCTAAAACAGGACTAAACCTAGAACTAAACAGGACTAAACCAGACTAAACCAGACTA